ACATACAAATGAATCCTGACATACGATACCAGTCTATACAACATACAAATGAATCCTGACATACACTACCAGTCTATACAACATACAAATGAATTCTGACATACGCTACCAGTTTATACAACATACAAATGAATCCTGACATACACTACCAGTCTATACAACATACAAATGAATCCTGACATACGCTACCAGTCTATACAACATACAAATGAATTCTGACATACGCTACCAGTTTATACAACATACAAATGAATCCTGACATACGATACCAGTCTATACAACATACAAATGAATCCTGACATACGCTACCAGTCTATACAACATACAAATGAATTCTGACATACGCTACCAGTTTATACAACATACAAATGAATCCTGACATACGATACCAGTCTATACAACATACAAATGAATCCTGACATACGCTACCAGTCTATACAACATACAAGTTGATCCTGACATACACTACCAGTCTATACAACATACAAATGAATTCTGACATACACTACCAGTCTATACAGTATAGAAATGAAATCAACGTCTCACACACCACTACATACTTTATACAGAAAACTTCATTTAAAAATTATATCAAAATTTAATTGCAGAAACAAAAATTACAATTAGAAGAACACTAAAAGTTTAAAGGACAAGATAAGTTTAATAAGTTGTACTGATGAATGTTTAGTTACTGGTCTCATTGCTACTAATACAACCAGCAATATGAAATTATTCCTGAGCAACTGAAATGGTCTTTATTGATTACTATGGATTAAGAGTTAACTTTTCATAACTCTTCCTTATCGCAGGTTTGTGTGTTTACCTTTTCATGGATGGCTTTGTGCTTGTTGAAATGACTCATTCTTTTTGTCTTGAATGAGCACACGTCACAGAAGTATTTGAAGGGTGTGGTGAGCTCATAAAGCTTCCACTGAGATTTCTTTCCTTTCTGCAATTCTCTGACTGGCTTCCTGGAAGGAAATTGAGGTTCTGGGGTGCTAGCATGTTCAGTAATGTCTCTCTGTGGCTTATGAATTTGTTGTAGTTGATGGTCAATTGAATCAATGGGCAATGTACTTTGGTCTGAGCTGTTCTGGTGATAACAATCATTTGAATGTAGTTCTTGAAGAAACACATCTTCTTCCGATGTTTGAACATTGACTACAGTTTCGCTGAGTGGTACCAACTCGTCATGATGTTTGAAATGTGACAACTCATTAGCTACGTGTGATGTATTATTACTCGTTAGAACATATGATGCAAGCACTGCTGTATCAGTTGCTTGTAAACTCTCACCACACTCCACATTGGAGTTCAGTTCTGTCATGAAAACTTGACAAAGTTTATTGTACACGCCAACAACAGATTGCCAACTACCACAGATGGTCTGTTCTGTATCTGTTTTCATAACACTTAAATCCGAGAATTCAGGAGATTTCAAAATTTCTTGAACTTTTTCATACGACTTTTCTAAGATCTTGGAAGAAAAGGTAGCTTTTACTTCTGTAAAAATCTGCAATCAGATAAAGATGTAAATGTTTTTCTCCCTTACCTAAAAATCTGATTATACAAGTAAACTTTTCTGTTACAGACACGTGAAGCTTGATGTTTCATTCAATTCATAAAAACTTTGGGTTTAAAGAAATTTACATCTTAAAGGCTCTTTATTAAAAAAATAATCAAGCACATATTATTTTTCCATTTTAGAGAATGACACTTTTTACATGATCTTACATTATGTACTCTAATGCACTTTTTATAAAACCTCGTATTTTTCATCATTCACATTACTACCCTAGAACAAGACCATTTTCAATAAAAATAAAAATTTGACTGACTACTTGTTATTCTCTTAATTAAATGTATAAGAATTTATGTGTGTAAAGTATTCTTATTTTTTATCATTAGATTATCTTCTACTGATTTAGATGCATACGTTGTCCAAACATAGTATTTTACAAAATGTAGTTCTTAACAAAAAAATATTAGGTTTACTCACCCTCCATGTAGTCTTTTATCATCTTTAAGTAAATTCTACACATTGTGATATTATGATAAAAGTGTTAACTTCTTTTCTGCCCCATTCCAAACAAAATTTTTCTACCTTGTTATATCCATCTGTTCCATCTTCATTGTAAGAAATATTTCCAAAATGGTCTGTACTTCCCATCTTCAGAGTGGCAAACAATAGTTCATCAGTTTTCCAAACTATTAAAAGATGCACAACATATACAAAGATGTCAGTTTGTTCAATTTAAATGTATTAGAAGTTTCAAACTGAAATTCTACTCGTGTACCTATACAGGTTATTTTATGAACAAAACATGAAATAATGTTGTGTTTTCAAACATGACACATTAATTTGAATGCTGTTCAGTCTACTCGCATATGTCAGGATTCATGTGTATGCTACATAGTTTGGTAGCATGTGTCCAAATTTATTTATATGCTGTAAAGTCTGGAAGTGTAAATTCACATTGATATGTTGTATAGACTGGTAGCATATGTCAGGATTAATGCTTTTTGTAGTACTCCTAATTGCTTGTAAGCAAGTTATTTTATCTCCACACCAGAATTATTAGAATTGTATAAATACATATACTCGTCTAATATATTCAAAAAAATAATAACTTTGGTTGTAACATTTTTGATTGCTCAATAAAGAAAATAGGTAGCAACTTTCAAGATGTTTGTAGTTTTTACTAGTACACAAAAAATTAATACCACTTCATAAGCTTAGATTGATATTTAGGTCTTAATTCTATTCCTCATTTCATTTTATTTATGCATGTTTCACTGAAGAAGTGCACACTATTGAGTTTGTGCCTAAAAATGTTAAACTTTATCAACTTCACCAAATTTGAACTTCAAAGTTTATTTGAAAATAAGACTTAAATAAAGGAAAATATTTACATTATACTGATACATAGGGATGAAATATGCATACTTAGAGTAAGGTTATAATGATCAAACATCAATTGTTTTCATAGCTGGTAGTCTATGTGGTCACCTAACTCTAATTATAAATTAGGTTCTAACAATTAGTAACTAACTAATAATTAGACTTACATGATAATAAAGGCTACTAATGAAAAATATAATATATTTACAATCACATATATAAATAAATAAACTTAATTCTGTATAATTATATATATATACACACACAGAAACAAATATCCATACACATACCATCACCTACAAATTTAAATTTAACAACTGAATTATGAATTTCTTTCATTAAGATATCTTGTTTAATGATTTAACTTGCTAAGTCACTCTGCTTTGTTGCTGGTAATTATAACTTAACCTTTTCATAAGTTTTATATCTGACTGTAAAATTGGGTGTGAGACAGTATCAGAATTAATTGCACAACTTAATAGGAAATGTTAAGTACATTCCCATTAAACTAATTACAAGGATATGACAGTCTTTTACAAAGCATCAGGAAGCAAATAATATTGAATAAAATGAACAATCACTTCATTAAAAATAGAAGAAGAAAAAGATATATATATATATATATGACAAAATATTACAATTATGCAGTAGTACCCCAGTGTTGTTTGAATGGCAGTGAACAGATACTTGTATGAATTTCATGCAAAGCTACACGAGAGCTATCTGTGCTAGCCGTCTCTAATTTAACAGTGACAGACTAGAGGGAAGGCAGCTAGTCATCACCACCCACCTCCAACTCTTGGGCTACTCTTTTACCAACAAATAGTGGGATTGACCGTCACATTATGACGCCTTTTCAAGACTCGAACCTGTGACCCTCAGATTGCGAGTCGAGCGCCATAACCACCTAGCCATGCCGGGCCATCTCGAGATACTAGAAGAAATTAAGAACATCACCTAATCAGAGTTAGATGTTGGATATAAAACTCTCAAATGCAACATACAAAAAAATTGCTGATTTTAAATTTATGTGGAGCTTGCTGCTTTACTCAACAATGAGTAGGAATAGAAATTTTACACACAATTTATATCAAAATTGTGAGAGAAACAGGCAAACACCTCTAGAAGACAAAAACTCTTCCTGAATGAGTTAGAATAAAGCTGAATGTAATAAGCACAATACAGAGAAATAAACAGACAAGTTTGTCTTGCTAAAATACTGCAAGGAAACTAACCAAGTGTGATTGGGTAAAAACATTGTCAAAATCAAGAGAAAGCAGATGGCGATCAGTCTACATACTGTGTTAACAGATGGTACAAACTGCGACAGAACGCATCAAATTCCTTACAGGAATAAGAGTATACTAGGTTCAAATTGAAAATGGCAAACTGCAGGTTGAAAAAAAAGCAAGAGAAAGGCAAAACAACAAGAAATAACTTGGGTAGGGCTAATATATTGTACTCAAATTACATTTGAAAACTTGCAGTACCACAAATAATGAGACAGTTTACTACTCGTTGGCCCAAATATTAAACTACTACACGTGTGAGAGATGTCCCCAGAACCTACTTGGGATAAAGATCTATTGGTTTAAGAATTGTTCTGGAACTATGAAGATGACCCCTTAAGAAGTTGTAAACTAAAATTACTATGATTTTATGGGTCACATGGAAAATGTGTCTATTTTCTCTTCATAAACCAGGGGTAAATATTCTTCCAAAAAACTCACAGATTTTTCCTGCACCCTCGATAAAAGATCATAAGATTCTTTAATTTTTCATCCTGTCTGAAAGCAATGCCTTAGCAGTGCAGCTTCCAAGAAATATCCAATAGTCAAGATATAATTTATTTATTTCCTTACTTTTTCTATTTCTGTTTTTCTTCCCAATTTTTGTCCTTTTTCATAACCCAAAATTGTTCTTTAATTTTCAAAATCTTTTACTTATGTGGAAGAATATTAACCCCTACAATAAACAATTTTTGGTGAATATATAGATGTAATATAATAATATAAAAATTAGTAATAGGAGAAAAGGGGTTTAAAAAAACAAAAGGGTATTTTTCTTACCTGTGCTGTTTTTCTCTTCTGGCTAACTGTGCAGTGCCTAAGCCTACAGTGTCTAAGAAGTAGCTTCAGTTCATCAGTCTGATAGGTACACTGGCTACATTTATGTATTGTACTGCTGTGAGCTATCTCGTGTCGTCGCAGGTGGCTCAAACGAAGAGTAGTAAAGGAGCACTCGTTACATTTGTACAAAGTTTTCAACTAGGGAAAGAAATATCTCTCTTAGGCTCATGTACATAGCACACACACATGTAATTAGCACAATGCATTATGATTTTTAAGTACAATGATATTCATTGCAGAAAACATTCTCTATGTTTAAAAATTACCTTGGTCAATCTTCTTCAAGTATCATATCAAAAGAAGGAGACTGATCGAGATGCTGTCAAAAAATTTGTATTAAGTTGTCTACAATAAATATCACTGTGCTTACAAATTGTTTCTTATTAAGTTACTACCGAGTTAGCATACTGTCCTTCCATACACAAGTATTATTACTTTAAAGGACTGAATATACAGATATAAGTTGTTCTAATGCTGTCTTGATAGTAAA